ATGATTAAATATTTATAGGTTCAGTCATCTGCAGATCCTGCACAGGCCAGATCCTACACAGCTGCTATGAGTTCATGAGTATCAAAGATAGCGTCATGCCCATAGAGAACATTTCACAGCTTTTCCTCTTATTATCTGACTATTGCATTCTTCTGCCTCTTCTTCTGTGATGTTCCCAGAATCTTAGATGGGTTGATATGGGCATCCTATGTGTGGCCGCACTTAGGATACTTATCTTCAGGCTTTCAGATTCTAGAATTTCAGGCATATACAAACCACCACATTAGGCTTACACTGAAAATTGTGAGAGCCCAATTAATTGTATCAAATATGTGTCGTCTTGTGCTGTTATTCACTTTGACAGTGTCTTAAATTATCTAGAATGTGTCTTATTCTCTTTCCCATTGGATCTGCAGGTACTTTTTCCATTTCCTTTCCATTGCCGCCTCCTTCAATGTATGATATGCCCATAGTCTCAGCCAATGACAAAATGTCCTTCTCCCTGCCTAGCCTGGTGAGATACTTGAATCTTCCATCAAAGGGGAGTTGCTGGGATTTTACTTCCATTTATGTCTCAGCATTTACTATCAGACTTTAGTCCATCAATTTCCCCTCACTTCCATGGTCAAGAAACCCATACCACAAAGGTATCAACTCAAAACAATCTCAAATCATCAATCATAGATTCTGTGAATAGCAACTCAGTTAGGTCTTGGGCTGGACTAGGCCATGGTCTGAATTCTCTTCAAGCTTAATGCTACTTAGTAGACTTTTTTCCTTGCATGAGTGAAACTAAGGTTCCCATTCTCTTTTTTTAAAATATCCCTTTTACTTTTACGAGCATATATGTCTTGCCTGCACATATGTACATCATGTGAATTCAGTGCCCAGAAAGACCAGAAGAGAATTTGAGATCTCCTGTACTGGAAATACAGACAGTGTGGGAGCCCATGATGGCTCCATTCTATCTTGACTTAAGGTCAGACAGTCCAAGCTTTTTCTTGTTCCTCAAGCCTAAATAACAGGATGTTTTGAGAATTAAGGAGGTGATGGTGCTTGTTTGTTCCATGAACAATGGTAAGGAACTCTTTTGCCTCTTCCCCTTTTGCTTTGGGAATAAAGAGGCTACCAGGAATAAATTCAGGGCTGCTGCAGTATTCACAGAGAGCCCACCTGATTCTGTCTTCTGCCTTTTGTCTCTTTGTTTCTTAATCCTAACTCTCCTATTGAAGTACCATTGGACAGGTCTGCTGCCCCAACAAGACAGTTGTGAGCCACCATGTAAGTGGTAGGAATTGAAACCTGGGACTATGGAAAAGCAGTCAGTGCTCTTAACCATTCTCTAGCCTGCAAAGTTCCCATTCTTGTGCTACCTGTAAGCACACCATTACTCTTAGAAACTGTCGCTACCACTGCCACTTACCACAAACACTTCACTGGAAACTCATAGCATGGCTGCTGGATTATTTGAGCCGAGCAAAGAAATCACTATCACTATAAATCAGGCTCTTCCTGGGGGCTGAAATGGGTGGGCAGGCACAAGTAGGCTGATCTGCTTGTAATTAAATCAAAACCGACTGATTAAGGATCCCATGTGGGTTAATCTTAATTGCCAACTTGATCCGAGCTAGAGGATCCTAAAAAACTTAGAAGGGCATGCTTCTGTGGGTGTCTATTGAGTATTTCAAGAGACAACTGGTATTTGTGCCAGAGAACTGACCAGGAAGACCCACTCTGAACGTGAGCTATACCATACAGTTTTCTAAGGGGGGCTAGAAATACAGAACAAAAAAGCACACAGGGGTAAGCTCACACACACGAGAGCATTTCCAGTCTTCTGGAGCTGGTGCAACTATATCGCCGTAGACATCATACAGCAGATGCTTTGGTCTCCAAACTTGAACTTTCAGCTGAAGTTTGCCAGGGGGCTTCCAGGCCTTTTGTCTCAAGCTAGGGCCACATTATATGTCCCTCTAGTTCTTAGGCTTCTAGTTTTTTATATGAATAACTATTTGTTTCATTGTTTTTCCAGACTGCTGGTGGCCTGGCCACTGAGGAATACTAGGCACTGGTTATGAAACTAATCTAACAAATAGTCTTTTATAATCATATATCTGTGTATGTTCATGTTTAGCATGATCATCTATATAACACATTGTTTTATGTTGACCATATTCTTCTAGTAAATATCCTATGTACAGATGCAGACTCCCTCTCTTTCCCATGTAGCCTAACTGAGGGTGTAAAATTCTCAAGCTCACCAATCAACCCATAACTTACAGGAAGATGTTATCTGCATAGATTCATCTAGAATTCTACTGCCAAACCTCTTTACTTCCAACTGGACTTTTCTCTCATCTCCTCATAGGCCTGCTCTTCCATTTTCTTCATATTAGTAATTTTCTTTGGTGAACTAAACATACTTTCTCTTGCTTTAAGACTTACACCTCTGGACTTTCTTTGCTACCTTCTTCATGAGTTTATGTGCGTTTCACTTTCTCCTCTCTGTTCTGAGCTACGCTGCCCAAAGGATCGCTTGGTATTAAGTCTCTCTCTGTTGAATCATATTTTATTTTTACCTCCATCTGGAGTGTATTTCTGGGGCCCTCTTATTTGCTCTAGACAATTTTCATTCCCCTTTAGAAATCACACCCAGCACCAGCCACATCTGGAAACTCTTTGAACATCCCTTCCTCAAGTTATCGGTGGTATCCAGTCCCACCAGAGTTCCCAAGAATTGCTGCAAATTTAAATTTGCTGTTTATTCTACTAGAACAAACACTGTCTTGCTGTATTACATACTGTCTTGAGAAATCACAGGAAAATATTTCCTTTTTAAACTACAAACTGCTTCAGGAATCACTCAATAGATGCTCTTAGAGTGAATGAAAATGTAACAATCATTTATACATGAAGAAATTGAAGATTAAAAAGACCAAGTAGTTCACTGAACTTCAGGTAGTCAGGAATACTGTGAAAGCAAAGAAGCAAGACTTCAATGGGCTTCAGAATTACCTAGCTCATCAAAACTGGAATGGCCAAGCCATGGTGTAGGATAATAACATCGTGACTACTTAATCCAATTTCTAATTAGAATACATTACCAAGCCTTTTGTGAATCATAATAGGTGACCTACTCAATAAATATTGTTGAATGAAATCAAGGCCTATTCAAGGAAGCAATTTGAATTGGAAATGGCACAAGGAATTAGATCTGGAGAACTGTAGGTATGTTTTTGTTTTTTGATTTTTTTTATTAAGCAGAAATTAAACCTCAGTTTACAGTTGTAATTGCCACAATGAGAATGGATAATAGAGAATTAATTATTATCAAGAGGGAAGAAAAGTCCAAAAAACCAAAATAGGAAGTTCCATATAGATCTTTACAATCCTCTAGTGGCAAATTAAGCAAATCTCCTGAAGATGTAGAAGGAATTCCGATAATGAGTCTTGTAAAATTTGAACCTCTTAAGCACCTTCTAATGACTAACCTTCTGGGTTATCCAAACCAGTACCTGAGAGTCAAATGTGAGTCAAGGAGACACATGACCACTGGGAAAAGCTCAGAGTTCCAGGGTATTTCTAACTCCCTTTTCTAAAGATCATTGGGACACATCCACATTGTAAGTCATCCAGTTTTCCCATTATGTATTCATGCTTTTAAAAAAAGTGTTATGCCAACTATAGTGCTAGGCAGTGGGGAACATGATAGCGGTCAAGAACTGATGTCTGGAGCTAGAGAGTTGGCCCAGGGTTTAAGAGCACTTGTTGTTCTTGCAAAGGACCTGGGTTCAATTCCCAGGACCCACAGGGTGGCTAGCAATCATCAGTAACACCAGTCACTGGGAGAAACCTAATGCCCTCTTCTGGCATCCAAGGGTACCGCATGTATGCATTTCACAGACATACAGATAGGCAAAACAACCATACGCATAAAAAACAAAAACGAAAAACAAGAAAACTGATGCTAATTTAGAACTGTCTTGTGAATAAGACTGGCTATCAAATAAGAAATTATAATCAATGGGGGGTGGATTTTGTGAAGAAAACTACAAGAAATTCTGAGTGTGTTGGAAGAAGAATAAATGCAATCATATGGGAAAAAATAGCCTCTAGATAGGTACCCAGAGACAGGTGACAGACTGAGTGAAGATGGCATTCAGCTAGAGATGAGAGCCTGGGGTCCTTACAGGTCCCTAGAGCAGCAACTGGTTCAGTGTATCTGACATCTACAGGCAGAGTGTATGTGAAGCCACAAATAAGGATGTAGAGGTAAGCTAGGTGAGTTGTGAAAGAATCTCACATGCTAGGGAGTTTGTGTCAATGCTAAACATAAGGTTGAGCTTACATAAGGTTATTCTTATTCTGGAATAAGAATAATACAGTGGATTTGTTAAATGATTATTCTAGCCACGGCTTGGAAAATTATAATCATAAGGAGAATGAGAGTGGAGACCAGGATGGTGTTAGACTAAAGTCAGCAGACACAGAAATGAGCATGGAGAGGAATGAATGGCCGTGTTAGTGGGTATGCTAGTAACGTACCAATGGTAACACTGGAGTGTGCAGCAGTGGATGCTAGATGTGAGAACAGACCTGAAGTTGCCATGTGGTAATAGTAAGCTGTTAGTTATTATCAACAAGGTCAGATACATGGAATTTTCTTTTAACCAGCTCAAATAATGAGATAATGAGATCTAATTTGTGTCTTTAAAATATCCCTATCTTGTAATTAGGAACTTTTTGATAACAGCAGCATAGTAATATTCTCCAGAACAAACAAGGGTGTTCTGGCTTCTAAGAGTGTTAGAAGATGACTTGTTGGTCAGGACTATGCTCTCTTCCTCTTTTGTTTTAACCTCAAGGTAAAATGGAAGTTTTATTAATATTAATACACTTGCATGAAGTGCTGCTAATTTGCTCCATCATTTTCCTAATTAGCTCTATTGAATTGTGCGAGTCATCTGCATTAATAATGAATCTCTATATGCTTTTTCCAGTGTGTGCAAAGGGAAGGACAGAGAGGAAGAAGGACTGTTGATTGCTTTGGAGAATGATAATCTACTGTCTTAGAAGATGGGGAAAACATCAAGAAGGTACATTAATTAAAACTGGACAGAAAGCAGGAGAGCTGTTCCACCTTTCTTGGCAAAGAAACAAAATGAAGATTTCGCTTATGGTTTTGCAAGCTCTGTCATTTCCTCTTGGGATGTACTAATGAATGTAGCCCATCTCTCTAGTTCTGACCCCATGTCATTCCATCTGCTAGTGTTACAGGACACAAGATTAAAGGCGATGAGGTGAGGTCAAGATGAGGGGGTGTATTTGATCAAAGGATAAAAGAAATTTGTGCTTCTTTTTTTTCCTGTGGACTAATTATCCCAATTAGATTGAAAATGGAGCTATTCATAAGCTTACAAAGATTAATGTCACGAATATTTAAAGAACTTCTAGCAATAAGTCAATGATAAGGGCACAGCAACCTAGTAGAAAAATGGATCAAGTAAATGGAAAAGCACAGTGGAAATGAAGACACATACCAGAAACCCCAATGATCCAACGGTCTACAATACTGACCCATGTACATAGAACCAACAAATACACATGAAAATGTCTCGATTAGGCTGGCAAAATGGCTCAGTGGGTAAAGGTGCTACTACCAAGCCTGATGATCAGAGTTCTCTCCTGGAGATTCAGAAAGTGGAAGATGATAAATGACTCTGAAAAGGTGTCCTCTTGCTTGCACACATGTATCTCTACACACATGGCACACACACACACACACACACACACACACACACACACAGAGTCCAAATGGAATAAAAATATCTGATGTTACTAAGTACTGGAGACTCTGTGGGTCCTTGTCAATTTGTTCCTTATCACTAGTGTAAGTATAAGCTAATATTTTGGTAAGCAGTTTGATGCCATCTGCTATTACTAAACTCTGGCCCAGAAATTCTACTCCTCAGTACATATGTTCATAGCAATCTTTAAATTTTTTCTTATGTTTATTTATTTTAGGTGTATGAGTGTTTACATGCAGGTATGTGTACCATGTATATGCCTAGTACCTGTGGAAGTCAGGAAAAGGTATCAGATCCCTTGAACCTGGAATTGTAGATGGTTATGAGCCATGACATAGGTAGTGGGAACTGAAGCCAGGTCTTCTACAATAGCACAAGTTCTCTTAACTGCTGAGCCAGCTCTCTGGCCTTCAATTGAGGCTTGGGGACCATCAAGGAAGAGAAGGTGGAAAGGATTTAAGAGCTAGATAACAGTGAGAAGAATTACAAGAAGCTATCTTCTATGCATGACATACCCATGGCAATCATGACCTGAAAGTAGCTGTGGTTTGTCTGCACTGGGCTCATGTACATGGCTGGAGTAGGGTCTCATTGTGCTCTCACCATTATTGGAAAATAATTAGTAGACTCTAAGACAGATCAAGTCTCTGTCTTCAGTTACACAGCCCCTGGTAAGTTCACCAAGCTTCAATGAATATCTTCCATATCCATGGTCAATGAGTGTGGGCCTCAGTGAGTCACAAAACAAAAGGCATAAAGTTAGGCTTGTTGACCACTAATAAGAACATGGGGAGATAAGAGAGGGTAGGTGGTAAGAGAATGCATCAAATATGTTTATGAAATTATCAAAAGACAAATCACATATATCTTAATATGTGTTCTGTTGTTAAGATGAAAAGCAATAGAATAAAAAAGTTAATTGTATAGATTTAAATATTTGATAAAATTGTTCAAAAATAAAAGCAAGATATACTGAATCCTGCCTTGAGGTGGGAGACAGTTTGTACAAAGAACTGTGGAAGGATTGATTATGCAGTAGAAATGTAGATTATATGTGTGTGTGTGTGTGTGTGTGTGTGTGTGTATACACAAAAGTATATGTTTAAGAGAGAAGGGTTGTGGTGGCCTGTCATATTTTAAGATTTTTAAAATTTTTATGTTTATGAGTGTCTTATCTGTGTGATTTTGGACCACATGTGTCCAGTGCCCAGAAAGACCAGAAGAGGGCATCAGATATCATGGAACTGGGGTTAAGGATGGTGTTAGCAGTCTGTGGGTGCTGGAACAAATCCTAGGTCCCAGAAAATGCTTTTAACCAAAAAGCCATCTCTCCAGCCGTTTGTTATGCAATTTTTTTTCTAATAAAGAGGATCTGAAGCAGAGGATACTAAGGAAAGTACACTAACTGTGATAGGGGAAGTCCTTCTGTGTATGTGCTTATCTTATCGGTTATTGAATAAAGCACTGTTGGCCAATAGGGAAGCAAGAAAGGTCGGACTAGGAGTTGAGGATTCTGGGTAAGAGAAACACAGAGTTACCATGTAGGACATAAGAGAAGTAACATGTCCGGACCTTCCTCCAGTAAGAGACATGGAAATATTTAGATTAGCAATTATGGGTTAAATACTTAGGTCAGAGCTAGCCAGTAAGAAACCAAGCAAACGGCCAAGAGCTTCACAATTAATATAGTGTTTTGTGTGTTATTTGGGGGCTGAAACTGTAGCAGGACCGAAGCAGCTGGCAGGAAAAACTACATGTTACAGCCATGGGCTATATATAGTCTATTGGCTATAAAAGTTGATTTCCATATACCTGGGGTTCCTTTAACTCTTTCATGATATCTTTATCTTTACATGACTTATTTAAAAATAAATTCTTCCACTCTATCATTAAGTCCATAATGAAAGTAATTCTTTTATGACCATTTAAAGGTGTCCTTGGGCTACCAAACTCAGTGGAAGAAACAATAAACAGAAGAATCAGTTGTATGAAAGAATGCATGGACCAAAATAATTAAGCCTTGAGAGAGAATATAAGAGTTGGTGCAAAGGACAACTGAGATCAGATGAGACCCCATGTGATCTCTAAGGACATAACAGTAGTGGTAAGGAGTCTGGATGCTTATGGAAATCTGCCCAAAGAAACAGAATTTCCAGCACTACTTGCAGGAGTTGATGGCTAAAGATAATGCAACCCCTTCTTATATATAGGATGGCCATAAAGCAGATGTGCATGACTCAGAGAGTGTCTGAACTTACCTCCAGCTGAACTCTGCAAAGCACTGTTCCTACAGCTTTCATGTCTGCCATCTCTTCTCCTGATACTGCTGCTACTATGACTTGGCTTTGAAGCAAGGAAATGACTACCTATCCTAACAACAGCAGCAGAAATACATTTACATTTGAGTGGAAGCCTCCTGTGATGGTCAAAGGTATCCCTCACCAAGAACAGGAGACCCTCTGCTTTTCTACTTGTCATATGACAGTTTCAATTTGCACAGCTTCACATCAGCCACCAAGAAGTGAGAATTATGATGGCAGGATATGTTTGTTCTAAGATGCCACCAGTGAGTAAGGGGCCAGTGATAGCAGGAAGCTCAGGCTACCATTTCTTAATCTGACAGTACTCTACAATAGGGTTACCATTATGTTCACTGTGTGGATAAGGTACAGGACAATACAGAGAACTTAATTTGGTAGCTTTGTACCTATGGCAAGTAGCTCAAGCAACCTCAGGGCCATTGTCCTCATCCATAAGGTAGAGATAATAGTAACCAACTTCATACAATTGTTGTGTGTATTAACTAGACAAAGTAGGCAACGAACTTGCTTAGAAAAAGTTGTGCAAACCTTCTGAATGGTGGTGAGATGCTCAAACTGTGAGTATATGATTCTAAGTCCTCTTTCTGCTAAAGTCATGCTGCCCCACAGGGAAATCAGAAGAGAAACATGAAAACATTAGAGGGCTGCCTAAGGAAACCATAACCTCCATCCAGTTCTCTAAGATGCACAGCTCAATGGTCTGCAGTGAGAAAGAAGTCTACCACTAATTCTCACCAGGTACCCGTCTTCCTACCCAGAGGAGTGCATACAAAGCATCCTTCCTTTACTTAGTTATTGTCAGAACCACAAACCAGAAAATCTTTTGACTGGCAAGGGACCAAGACATCAATTTTCATCTCACATCTGCTTGAAAGAGTAGGAGTGATATTATATTATCAGTGACATTTTCTCACTGGAAAGATTGCCTGGATCATATTTGTATTTATTTTCCTAAATGCAATATACAAACCACTAATAGAACAAAATCTACTAATTAGGTTCCATTCAATAATGCATTTTTCACCTTAGCTTAGCAGTGTCCTTGTACATTCCTGCCAGGATACTGCTAATAATGTCTTATTTAGCTTATAAATGGTGCTTATCATTAAATTCAAAAAAATTAGCAGGCATCAATGAGCCTAAGGTGACAGTGCAGTAAATAATTTGAAAGGGCTCTTCACTGTAGATCTATTTTTTTTGCTTAATTTGATTTCACTTATTTATTAAAAATTAAGCATATAGATTTGGAAGGAAGCTAGCACGGCTGCCTTGGCAGCCCAAGCTGTCACGGCATGTCCAAAGAACGAAAGAAGTAATGGCAGACTTGAGACTCAGACCATGAAGGAAAAACTTATTACACCTCCTTTATATCTTGGGTGTGCCCAATGTATCTTCTTCAAGATGGAGTTGAACTCTGCTTTTATTACAGTTGACCTTTAGAGTTAAGGTCTGTGGGTTAAGTGAGTAACCTGGAAAAGGCTTGTGGTTTCTATGCCTTTGGAAAAGAATCATGGTTCCCATGTTGTGTGTTGGTCTCTTTGTAGCATTTATGGGACTTAAGAAGTGCCCAATTTATACTATCCCAGGCAGAGTGCATTGTGAGGTAACCTGTGGTATATGATTTCTGGAAATCTTCTAGGTATGTGTGGTAGGTTGATTATTCTGTTGTACTGACAAGGGAACTATGGTTGAAAGAAGGCAATTGTTATGGGATATTTGTACACTGTGTGGAGATATATTGCTATGATTAGTTTAATAAAGAGCTGAATGGTTAATAGCTAGGCAGGGGGTATACACAGGACTTCCAGGCAGAGAAAGAAAGAGCAAGAAGAATCTAGGTGCTCAGTGAAGCAAGATGCAGGGAGGAAACAGGGTGAGCAGTACAGAGATAAGGTAAAAAGCCACAAGGCAAACTGTAGATTTATATAAATGTGTTAATTTAAGTTATAAAAGCTGGTGAAATGAGCGTAAGCTAAGGCCAAGCTTGCATAATTAATAATACGTCTCTATGCTGTTGTTTGGGAGCTGGCTGATGGGACAGAAAAAGACTCGTTTACAGGCAATCTTCCCCAGTCACAGCAACAGCACATGCCGGACACCCCTGGCTTTCAAACCTGACACTGAAGAGCTTAAGCATCCTTGCCTATGCTTCCTTCTCCAGGCACACATGCACATACTTCAGAGAAGACAGAATTCCCATTTCTATTGGAATAATGCCTCTTTTTCCATTGTTACTTGCTAACCTAACTATATCAGTTTCTTTCTTGACCAGTTATCTATTCAAAACACTTACCAAACAAGTGCTTTGTGTTAGGCAGAGTTATATACACTTACATGGACAGAAACAAGAATTCTGCCCTCCTGTCACTCATACTCCAGTATGTGCAAGTGTGTGTTGGGGGGTAGAAAATAAGGAAAATGAATGGCAATATTATGTAGTACACCTGGGAGTGTTGACTGAAGTAGAATACTACACAGAGAAAGCAAGTAGATGACAATTAGATGACGTATGACAGATGTGACTGAAGGGAGGAATGCCAAATTTAGTTTCCTGGTTTTTCTTTGTGTACTCTTTTCAGAAGGCTGACGTTTCACCTCCCCATCCCTAGCACATGTATTCCATGAATTGATCCTTGCCTAAACCTAACCCATCAAGAGAGAGATTTCCATTGGTTTTCTAATTAGCTAGAGCAACGTTGACATCCAGTGGTGAATTC